AATTAGGTAAGAGACCCAGACCTCTGAAGATTCTGAAACATTAAATTTGCGCACTTGCATTCCGTGAAACATTGCCACGGCAAACTTCCGAGTATAGGGCGCACATGGGCCACGAAAGAGGCGACGGTCTTTCCCGGTCCTAGCAAAAGACCCATGTTGATCGACAAACGTCAAAATTGACCGAATGGAGCAGATGATGGGAGAGATCCCCTGAATTACGTTCCAGAACCGATCAGGGTCAACATACCCCGCTCCCAACCCAAGCTCCATCAGATCTCCAATAAGCTCTAGCCATCGAGAAGTGTCGGGTTCCCTATTCCACCGCTCGCGGACCATCCTCTGTACATCGGTGACACGATCAGCGATTGAGCGAAGCTCCTCCATGGATTTAGACGAGGCCCTGGTAGGCTGTCGTTTTTGAAGATACCTGGCCATTTGACCCCATATATTCCACCAAACTGTGTAAATGAAATTCCCAGGGTCCGACCAGCGATTGTCGTAGAACACTGCGCCTTTGTATGACATCGTCTTGATCTGTACAAAAGACATAGAGCGCACTGCGATTCCCACGATCCCAATAAGGTTCTTGCATGCCTCACTTGAGAAGAATTCCTCAAAGAGATTCCATAGCTGCCTGAGAGGTATATCGAATTCACGCCCCTTCTCATACATGTGGAGTGTGACGCATTTCTGTGGATTGTATGAACCTAAATTTACAGGAGCGATCTCGGAACTTTCAATTGCCAGTGCACGTGGGCAGGCGGATACCCATGCCTCGAAGACACAACACTGGAGAGATTTTGAATTCCATGGCCTGACGACCCTCTGAGGGGCAAGCATGAGAGTGTGTTCCCAGATAACTTGAGAAGGGGTTGAAGCAAGACGAGGTAAGCGGATTGAACCAAAATGACTACAGAAAAGCACCAGGACACCAAGCCAACCGACAGATGTGGATCTAGGAGATGGTGAGACAGGGATGTGAGGTACACTTTATCAGGGATCGGACGGCAGTCATCGTCCTGGCCAACGAAGTGAGATTAACAATCCCAGGCCAAACCCATTTGTACTGAGGTGAAGAAGCAAACTAAGCGCAAAGCAACCCCAAGTTGAAACTTGTCACGTCGAGGCCGTGGGCAAAGAGCGAGAATCAACCCCACTACTTGGCCCCGACAACTGGATTGAGAAGAACATGATGCAATCCCAGCTCATGAGAAATGACCTGAAGGCCCAATGAAATGAAGCACTTGTAATCCCAGAAATTCCCAGATTGAACCAAGAGTCAACGTCCTGGCAAACGTGGTGAGATTAACAATCCCAGCCAAGCCCGTTTTGAACTGAAGTGAAGGACCAAACTAAGCGCAAAGCACCCCAAGTTGAGACTTGTCACGTCGAGGCTGTGGGCAAAGAGCAAGAATCGACCCCACTACTTTGGCCCCGACAGTCGAATTGAGGAGAACATGATGTAATCCCAGCCCCAGAGAAATGTTCTGGGGCCCAATGAAATAAAGCACTTGTAATCCCAGATTATTCCCAGATTGAACCAAGAAATGAGCTGAGGGCCCAAAGTAATGAAACACTTGAGCCGTATCTTCGGAACTGCCTCGATCACATCAGGAAGCGAGGTTTGCAAAGCAGATGGCACCTTACATTGGCTCCGTTACTCCCAGACTCCACCGTGATAAGATCTCCCACATCTTCAAACATATCCTTAATGAAGAGGAGGACCACAATGCAGCTGCCAGCAAAGATCTGCGATTTGTCATGGAGCCTCTCCTTCTTTGGGCAGACCTCTGGGCCAATGAAGGCCTCTTTGGTGTAAAAGCGCGCATTGAACAAATGAATGTCCTTGAAACGAAATGTTTGGAGCCCAAAGTGCCAAAGAATCTTCGTGACGTCCCTGGTAGTGAGATATCCGTGCTCTCCCAAGACTGGAATACTGTCTGAAACCAAGGGACCTTGATTATCAATGATGAAAGGCGTCAGCTCACGAACTGTGATGATTTGGAAATGTTCTCCAACCTTGGCCTTGAAGGTATTCAAACCCGTGAGCTGTGGTACGAAAACCATAATGTAACGCCTTGAGCTCGTGTGGTCTGTGCCGCCCTTCGGAGCGAAAATTGGGCAGCCTGAGTGGTCGTATTCCAACTGTGACTTCAGCACTGGTGGGCCCAACTTGCTGATCCAGGGCTTCTTGTCCTGTTCCCAGCTTTTGGGAGCAGGCTGCGACCTCCTGTCAGGCGAGTCGACCTCCGCTTCAGATCCAGAGGTAGAGCTCCTGGAGTCTGAGCCCCCCGAAGACGGTGGGGAGTGTCTGACAGGCGCTTCCTCTCGGTAGTCCTGTGTCTCTGGCAAGGCCTCGTCCGGCTCTGGCTTGGACCCCGACTCACCACCCTGCAATTGTTTCTTGAACCCACCTGAGAACTGCATCTTCCTGGCAATCGGTGATCGGCTCCGAGACAAAGAGTCTCCCCTGTGCACAGGTGCTGGAGGCGGGGTAGGGAGCACCCTGGACTCGCGAGAGTCAGCACCTGACGATGCTTTGGCCTTGAGGCCCTGATTCTTGATCTCGACCGTCCTTGCTTGGTCCTCCTTTTCTGCTCGAGCTTCTTCTGCAGCTTGACTTTCTTCTCATTCGTGGTAAGCACGGGCTTCGGCTCCATCTTATCAAAACGCTTCCGAGCCCAACGATCTAAGGCGTGGCGATCGAATCCAAATAAAAGGGGAACTGTCGGCTGAATCTGATTCCCAACCAAATCCAGATCCTGAGAGTAACAGGTGTCCGTGGTGAAAAGAAAGGTAGCCCCGCTGGGCGCAGTACGGTAACAAATTCCCGGATAGCTCCGTGGAGAGCTGAGGGTTTCAGATAAGAAGCCGGCGGTGGGTGGTGAGGGAGACACGCCCACCTCCGCCGCTCCACGATCCCCGGAGCAGGTTGCCGGAACTTGCAGCGGGTCCGGGAGCGTGGCTTCCTAGCGTTTCCCAATACGCGTGGCTCCAGGGTGCGCGAAGCGCTTCGGCAGAGCTTCGGAAGAGCTTCGGCAGTTCTTCCAGGCTCCTAGGCAGATCTTCCTTGCGCGCTTTGCAGGGCCCCACGCATTGTAAACGGCGCCCCTGCAAGCGTCTCCTGCGAGGTTTCCAGCGTCCCGCGCATCGTTTCAGGCGGCCTGGCAGAGATTCCCGTGCGACGTTCCGCGCTTGGCTTCGCTATCCGGGTTTTCGACGCTTACAAGTGTGAGTCTGGATCACGCCAGACAAAGCCAATGGCTACTGAAGGCGAAGGTGAAGCGGTTGCCGAACCCAATCAAGCATTTCTTGAGCAAGACCCAAACGAAACTTTTTGTCCCGGGAGCCCTGAGGAGAGAATAATGTGGTCCAGGCATCCTTGTCATACCTGAAAACATATCCCCTATGCGAGCGTGAGTGGGCGCGGCTGCCCCCAAAGTTATCAAAGGAGCGATTCTGAATGACCCAATGCTTGCAATATTGAAACAGCCTCGACGAAAAATCTTCTGGATGTCTTTGCATGTGTGAAACCCAACTAATAGCTGAATCCAAATGGAAAATAGCCCATGAAACATCTTTGCATCCCTTGGTTTTGCGATTTCTGCGTAAACTAAACTGTTCGGGAGATTCCCCCGGGAGCCTTTTGAGTTTCAACATGATCCTGATACATTGATTTTGAGCCTTGGTAATCAAATCCACCGTCGTCTTACAAGGGACCCAGGCAGCACCTCTGGAGCGGATGAGGAGTAGGAGGAGTATGTGATGGTGATGATGATGACGTTGATGATGATAATGATGATGGTGATGATGATGATGAGGATGATGATGATGATCAGGATGATGATCAGGACGATGAGGACCATGCGATGGAGATGTTCATGATGTTGAGGACGATGATGGTGATGATGATGGTGATGACGATGATGATTTTGAGCTCCTCCTCCCCTCCTCCACTCCTCCCCTCCTCCCCTCCTCTCCTTGGCCTGTCGGGGCCGCGGCCGCCGCGCCCGCGGGGCCCGCGCCCGCCTCGGCGCCGCCGGGGCCGCGCTCCAGCTCGGACAGCGCCTGACCCGAGTGCGAGCGCGGCGAAAACGCGAAACGCGATGGGAAGGGATGCCAGGGCGGCGCAACCCTCCCTGACCCTCCCTGGCTATCATAGCCAAGGAGGGTCAGGAGGGTTGCGCTCCTCCCTGGCATCCCCCCCATCGCGTTTCCTCAGAAGGAGCGCGGGGGGAATCATCATCACCATCACCATCACCATCGCCAGGGCGCCTGCTCCCACGAGGGGACGCCGCCGACGAGGGCCGGCGCGTGGGCGAGCGCCTCGCCGACGGCGTGGAGCGAGTAGACTCGCTCCGCGCCCTCGTCGGCGACCCAGCAGCCCCCGAGCAGGCGGCGCACCCTGGGCAGGGGCGGCCGTCCCCTCACGTCCTCTCCTCTGCCCTCCTCCCCCACCCCCCATCCTCCCCATCGATCGTTTCTGCCCCCTCCGTTCCGTCGTCGGCCCCAGGAGCCCAGGGGCCAGAGGAGTCGCATTTTGACGGTCCTGGGGCCCAGGACGGGGCCCAGGACCGTCAAATTACGACTCGCGATGGGGAATCAACGCCCTGGAAACATGTCTTGAGAGATCCGCGCGGAGATTCTGGATCGGCGCTGGTGCCCCCTGGCGAGCTCCGCGCGCCAGGGAGGGTTTCCAGCTTCCGCCCAGGAAATCCGCGCGCACCTCCGCCGCCCCAGCCTGTGCTTGGGCCAGTGGCCCACAGCCGGCAGCCCGAGCGACAGCTGGGCCAGCAGCCATAGCAGGCCGCCCTCGCGGATCAGGAGCTGGCCGTCGAGGCCCCTGAAGCCGCGGGCGCGCCCGAGGAAGACCAGCCGCCGCACGAGCAGCGGGCTGATCATGGCCGCCGCCCTCGCGGCGGCGGCGCCCGAACAGCTCGAACCAAACGCGGCAACCGCCAGCGAAATGCTCGCTCGAGATCCACTCGAGGCTCTCGCGAGGAATCCCAGGGGGGAGATGCGCCGTTCGAGGCGGGGGCCCGAGGTGGGGGCTCACAGGACAACCGGAGAAGGCCCAGAGGGAGGCCCCGAGGGTTGTTGAGGGCGGTTCCTTTTCAAAACGACGGTCTCGCTTGAGCTCCACTCGAGGCTCTCGCGAGGAATCCCAGGGGGGAGATGCGCCGTTCGAGGCGGGGGCCCGAGGTGGGGGCTCACAGGGCAACCGGAGAAGGCCCAGAGGGAGGCCCCGAGGGTTGTTGAGGGCGGTTCCTTTTCAAAACGACGGTCTCGCTTGAGCTCCACTCGAGGCTCTCGCGAGGAATCCCAGGGGGGAGATGCGCCGTTCGAGGCGGGGGCCCGAGGTGGGGGCTCACAGGGCAACCGGAGAAGGCCCAGAGGGAGGCCCCGAGGGTTGTTGAGGGCGGTTCCTTTTCAAAACGACGGTCTCGCTTGAGCTCCACTCGAGGCTCTCGCGAGGAATCCCAGGGGGGGGATGCGCCGTTCGAGGCGGGGGCCCGAGGTGGGGGCTCACAGGGCAACCGGAGAAGGCCCAGAGGGAGGCCCCGAGGGTTGTTGAGGGCGGTTCCTTTTCAAAACGAAGTTCTCGCTTGAGCTCCACCTGAGGCTCTCGCGAGGAACCCGATGGGGGAGATGCGCCGTTCGAGGCGGGGGCCCGAGGTGGGGGCTCACAAGGCAACCGGAGAAGGCCCAGAGGGGGGCCCCGAGGGTCGTTGAGGGCGGCTCCCTTTTCAAAATATAGCCCTTGTCTGAACTTCGCCTTCGTGTTCGGATTGTTATTTCGTTCTCTCTCTCTCTCTCTCTCTCTCTCTCTCTCTCTCTCTCTCGTTCTATGGTTGGTCCCGCCCTCTCTCTCTCTCTCTGTCTCTCTCTCTCTCTCTCTCTCTCTCTCTCTCTCTGGTTCCCTCTGGTTCCATCCCTTTCGTTCGGTGTCGTCATTGTTCGTTTTCTCTCTCTCTCTCTCTCTGTCTCCCTCTCTCTCTCTCTCTCTCTCTCTCTCTCTCTCTCTCTCTCTTTCTACGTGTGTCTACGTGTCTCCCTCTCTTTCAGCGGTTTCCCCTTATCTTGCACTCTTCCATGCTGCATGCTGGACAGTAGGGATGGGGGGGTGGATTGGGATGGATGGCGGCTTGGAGGAGAAATATGCTGATAATTCGGACGACTTTGGGATTACACACTGCTACCCCGCCTCAAAAAGCATACACCAGCTCACCAGCTGACCCAGAGAATCAAACAACGCGTGGTGATCCATAAAACAACAACTTGGCGCGATCGTTAAGTTTTGCGGTCGTTCACACATGTTTTCTTAGACGCGTCCGTTTTTTCATGAACAAGCATTGGCTCCACACGCTCGTGTTTCGCATGCCCCTGCGCATTTCTTGTGAACTATCTCGAAATCATGATGCTGTTTTTCTTCCACCCATGTGATTTTTTGGGTATCACGTCGTAGTCCGCATGTTGCTGATTTTTTGGGCGCATCTGATTTGTGAGGGTTCGCGTTCGTTTTCTTAGCACGAAATCGCAGTACCATGAAGCGTTTCCACGCACATGCGTGGTCATTTCTATGAGCAGAACAGTGTTTTTGATGTGCTGAAATACGGTGCATTCCGAATGGGCCCAAGCCGAAACCAGCCCCAAGGCAGTTCCGGAGGCTTACCGAATCTGCCTCCGGAGCCGCGGGCTGCGCGCAGGCTTGTGTCGGGGAGCCGCCTCCCCAGTGTTCCCCCCCAGAAGCAGACCTTGACCTGAAAATTGCTAGGGGCATTTCCTGCCTCTCAAATGAGCACATGTAGCTTCACAGGGCATGGTGCAAACTATCAACCTTTTGGCTGGCCGTGGCCCAGGGTTGCCCCAAAAGTTTTTCTCGTTATTCCGCCAAGCCAATGGGAGAGAGGATAGGGCCCCAGGGTCCATTTTCATTCCCAAAACTGTTCCCGGGCTGCCTTTTTCATCTCCAATGCCGAAGCCACTAGCGGGCAGGAACAAATTGAACCTCCATACTTGGTGTGATTATGATGCGTTTTAGCGCAACTGCAAAAACGCATCCCTGGAGGTCAAACGGCAGCGAGTGGTGCATATACACACGTGAACCATGCACTATCTCATACCCGTGAAACTCTATCACGAGCTAGCCGGCGGACCGCACAGAACGCTGGTCTCACCAAGCTTCTAGGAGCAGTGAAAAGAGTATTCCCATGTTGGGATTACTAACCCATAGGCAGGCTGGACTCAGTCACTCACTTCCCCGATGGGATAGCATGAATCCTGGCCCTCGCCAATTGCTCCTTGAGCTTCGTCAGGGTAGATTCAGGGTCTGGAGTTACGTCATACGAACTTACACGTAAGATCTTAACAACGAAATGTGTAGGCATATTCTTTGTCAGACATACAACAGCCATAATACTTGTATCGATCCATCGGATCCCATCACAAAATGTGCGTGGGTGAAGCATCTATACTTCTTCCGTTCCAGTAGTCCAAATATCTTTTCTTAGCTACTCAAATCAATACTCAGGCGCTTAGCTTCTGTCTTACGCATAGTTGGCGCTACGAGATGTTCCTCAAGGCTGCTGCAATCCGTCAGCCGTACGCGCCTCAAAGACACGGATGGTTGGCAGCTTCTTTCCTGCGCCAAGCATCCCACGCGCATCTGCGATGGCGGCGCGAATGCGCACACCAGAGACTACATCCTATATACAAGCCGGGGTATCTGCTTGTAGTGTAGATACACATACTCGTTTGACAACTGTCCTAGATTTACATATAGGGTGACCATGATCAATGTTCCCCTCGATGAACCCAGGCCCTGCGAGTCCTCTGAAACTAGCCCACTGTGACCTCAGAGGCTTGATTTCGCCCATGACTATGTCCTCTTCTCCTGCCCAGCTGGCGTCAGTAACAGTCAGAACTAGCATCTCTTGACCCCACTTACCAGCTCCACCTGTGAATACTAGCCCACAGTCAGTTGACTGAGTTGCTCCAGCTAACACACGGTTCCTTGGCATGAAGTACCTTAGCGTGACACACTGCAGTCTGCAGGCTGCTCACACGGTATAATAGCTCAGGCTTACACTGACGCGCAACCCATGACAAAGCACCCACGACCCATCTAAGCTGTGCTGTCTCGCCATCACTGCATTTTCTCGTGAGGGGGCTGTCTCTATGGGATACTGCCTCGATATGCTCAACATTGCCCCTGGCCGCGATACTCACCGTGAAATCTTCATCCTGGACAACTGCTAGGCCGCAACAACGTAAAGTATCCGACTTGGTTTCGCGAATATCGAACCCTGCTAATACCAAATCGCTAATTATCTGACTTTCATCATCTGCAGCCCACAGCATGTCATCCACATGTGCACCTAAAACACACATGATATCGTTCTTGTCATTGCGATTACTGCACAAAGCAGGTATGATGCGATTCTCCTTCAGACCATGAGCTTCAAACCTTCTGCGAATTTTATTCCACCAACCTCGCACTGCGTCACGCGTGCAATAGACAAGCATACGCGCGATCAAGGCTCCACCATCCGGTATTCCTTCGAGTCCGTCGGGCGGTGGCTTGAGCAGCATGAGGCGGTCGAATTCCTGCCCCTGGAAGTACGCAGATGTAACGTCGGCACACTTGAGTGTCATCTTTGCACCGGCAGCCCATGAGGTTATCAACCTTAGCCCTTCGAGTTCGCACATCGGTGAAACCGCACGGATACCCAGCGACTCTTCCAGAACTCCACGCACGACAAGTGTACTCTTCTACTGCGGTGCAACCGGAGGTCCACCCAGTCTACGGAGATGTTCATTCTTGTCAATATCAATCCATTGCGTAGGTACCCTACGGCATCCTTCGTCGAAGAGATTTTGCAATTCCACGGAATCAATAGGCACGGCGGCGTTGAATTTCCGCCATTTGCCCCATTCGTCGTCTTGCCAGTCGTAAACCGCTTTTTACCGTCCTCAGATTCCCGATGGTATACCAGATGCTGTGCACTCTTTAGCTTCTTCTTAGATTGCGGCTTATGAAAATTCGTTGAAGAATCCGACAGGCGATTCATGTGGCTTACCAGCGAGTGAAGTTTCTCTACGAGCTAGAAGATCCATGCCCGGCCCTGATGTTCCGGCCCTGCGCATGGCCTCAAGAAGTGGTTTCGCTGGTTCGGGAGCTGGCTCCGAGACAGAATCGAAAACCCTTCCTGTACTACCATCGGCACTCTCGACTCTTACGCGCATCACTTCGTTACGACTCTGTATAACGTGCGGGGCGTCGTCTAGTAACGACCTCTGAAGGGGCGTTCGAGTCACCTGTGACGACCTCAACGCGGGCGGCACAGGGACGATCATTCCATCTGACAGTTTATCCTCTTCCATGTGTCGAAATGATTTCTCTATGAACTCGGGGTCTTCTGGGATCCCCGGCAGCTCTGCCGTCGCCATAGGACGTTATTGCGCAGAATGCTCTTACGCCCATAGTTCTGGCAGCTCACGTCGCTCGTCCACGAATGACTGCTGTTGCCCGTCTGGAGGTGCATACCTCTCAACACCACCGTCATGGTGCTTAGAGAGATGTTGGTAAGCCAACGCCTCCGCCGCTTCACACGGTCGAAGCCTGCCGACAGCCACGCAGGCAGGTACAACCTCTGTGATAACCCCTGCGTTCTTGCCATCAAGTCCAACGATACGAGAACCAGTGCTCCACGTAGCGGTAACCTCGCCGTCGGTCGGCCTCTTGCGAAAGCATACTACATCACCTACTTGATATTATCAAGCTAATTGCGTTGCCTTTCGGAGAGCGGCCCGCGCCGTCCCACTCCCAACGTCGCGTTCTGCGAATGCTTGTCTGGCAGACGCCCGGATCGCAGCCTGGCGAGAAAACTCGTCAGCTCCGTCCTCTGGAACATTCGCAAGCACTCCCGAGTGGAAAGCTTCCTCGTCGTCGAATTGACTCCCTGGGACACGAGGAATCCTTCCGAGCACCCACTGAGCA